TCCTAAGCGACCTTTCCCCATTCATCACCTTAATCCCTGCTAGTGGAATACCCCCTGCTAGCAAAATATTCAAAACTTAGGCGCTGTACCTTCGTAGGGTAATCATTCTCGGAGTGTTTCCTCCCTAATCGGGGAGATCCGAGGCCCATGGGCTTACTGCACCACCATTGGTACAAGTACGGTACTGAGCAAACAGTATTACGGCATCATATTATTTTCTGTTATCTGGCTTTTCGCCAAGACAGAGGGCGTTCTTGAAAGGTTGAAATGAGCCCCTTTGGCAACTAAAGTCACCCAATCGAATCAGCGATAAACGCATACAATACTCACCTCTCTTCATATCTATCACCTCAATCCCCGATTGAGTATTGCGTAGGGAAGGCTTTGGGAGGAACCAGTGCCCCTAAGTTAACAAGGTATCGGTACAGTAACCCGAGTGAGTTGGTTTTTAGTGTCCAACCCCGCGGCACACCTACTAATAATGGTGTGGCACTTGATCACCATGCCAGTCCCCGTCTACCGTACTCGACTACCGTACCGACACTGCGTTCTGACCCACTTGACATACCAGGGATACCGGTAGAAGGTGAAAAAGTTGACTTGGATCGAGATGAAGTACGGGTAAATTGACTGACACAGAAGAAGCAAGGGGGGTGAGGTTAACCTGGATTGAGATAGCATGAAGCATTATGAGTGTCTTAATCATTGTTGTTGAGGGCTGGTTGTCACTTGTCTGACTAGACTAAGAATAAACTCTCCTGTCTTATACTCGTAATTGTATGCGGAGACTTTTTCACCAAGCTATCCACAAAACAGGAATTTCTCAGGGAATTCCGGATTGTAAAAACCTCATGACTTATCAAGCAGTATACCCTATCATCTATGTCCTCGATTCACACCGGTACTGTAGATGCAAAAGCCATTTTTACAGAAGAATTACTCAACCGAAAGGGGGGGGGATGTTGATGGAAATAAATAAAAGCAAATTTTGGGTAGTTCTATCGAGAGTCTCCATCAATCGCATTGTCCTTGGATGCACACAGTACTTGTACCATAAAACTTCGATTCATAATGTACGAGACCATAGTCTACTCGAGTACGGTAACTCGAGCACGGTACCGGTACTGGGAAAACCCCTCCTGGGTCCAATGCCAAGGCCTATAATGCCAGACAACTTGCGGCAAAAACTGCTCTCGCACTAGGACATTAGAGTCGCACCTGCTTACTCGAGTACAGTACTCGTACAGGCACAGTAGTAAGACCGGCTGTATTTCCCTTTACCAGCACAATATTACTATCTGAGCCGAGGGGCTGACTGTCCTTCCGCTGTGCTTTTCTCCGCTCCGATCCAAAGGAGGAAATTCTGGACGTCTCAACATGGGGTCCAATCATTCCAGTTTTTTTCTGCGCTCGCGCTTTTACCGCAAAAGACACTTGCGGTCCAGTCATCCACGAGGGCTTTTATGGCACTGTGCTGATGGCATTTTGTATTTTTATGTCATCCCTTCTTCTGTATTCAGTAGTGTACCCCGGGCTCGAGCCGAACAGGATGATAAAAAGATAGATTGGCTCCTCGGTGTCTTAAATTCCGTTTGACAGGTCACCATTGAGTGACCGAAGCCATATTCCCCGTGAACCTGCGCCCTTGAAGATCGGAGGACGAAATAGGCACTAAAAGGTCCTGAAACTCACTATCTTATCCCGCGCATCGCACAATCGCAGACAGAACAACGAAACGGGGCCACCAAGTATCGCCATATTAACAAATTTTCTCCTTTACGAGATATTCCAGTACCGGCGCTATGAGACTTCGTAAGATTTAGACCCCTTTCCGCCTTGAATGCTAGTTGGAAGCTTCAGGACCCTCTTACTACTCTCTGGTAAGGTTTGAGGGGTCCAACTAAATAGGGAACCAGATATTCAATTTTCAAATCCCACGGGCTCTATAACCACAAACATTTTTGAGATGAAAAAACTTGTTTATTATTCTCCTTCATGCTCTTTTTTTTTAAGAATACGGTATCCATGGTTGCAGAGCCTACCGGTAGACTATACCATTTGAAAATTCAATGACTGGTTCCCTTTTAGGCGGCTTGAACCATATTAGGCATAGCTTTATACTATATCTTGCAAACATTGCTATCATACTGTTCCGTATCCCCACCAACATGGTAGTCTACCCAGCGAGCAGCTTATTTGCGCCAAGTCTCATAACAGACTTCAACTAAGCACGGTCAACAAACTTACTTTTCTTCCCCTTAACGGACGAGCCTTGGATAGAAAGAAACCTTGTTGAAAAGTACAGATGGTGGTAATTAAGCGAGGAGGAATTGGAACTCAAGAATGTGATTTCAGATATCAGCTCTGATATACTTGGTGCCGGAGAAACCACCTTAAGAGGAAGTTGCTATCAATTTATGATACCAACCACAATAAGATACAGTACCAGAGGTCAACGATAACTCGGTGTTGAGCTCAAGTCCTTCTGTCCATGTCTAGGAATCTGGGACCCTCATCCAATGATTACCATCACGAGGTCCAGGTATTAGTGTACCATCTAACCTTATATTACCCGTGCGGATATCATCTGCACAAATTTCACTCCCAATGCGCGCACGATATGCACCCAGTACAATAGCCAGCGATGAGCTAACCCTCCCCCCCCCATTATGGTAGATGGTAGACGCTGCAACTCTATTCCGACTACCGGTACGGTACTCAATGCTGAACACTCACCAAAGTCACAATGAATCGGCGACTGGGAGCGGGGGGGAGCAGATATCGTATATACCATACTAAGATTCCCACCGGTAACCTTACAGCCCCCAACACTAGAGTCGAGAGAGCCCGACAGACCTTTTCCCTTCAACTGAAAATTTGTATCCCATAAATGTTCTACATGCTTCTGCCTATGCTCAAAATGCTTCTACCATGCACAAGTCCTAAAATTAATTGGACGAGGAGGAGAAATCACCGTCCTTGTGAATACCTCTACTTGGGAAACCTTGGTTTGCTCGCCTCTCGACCGCCTAATTACTCCCGATAGACCAACAGCGAAAGACCTATTTCGCCTCTGCTCCCACTCGGGTTCTAAAAAGCGTAAGAGTTCCCGTTCTAGCCGATATCAGAAGTAGCTTAATTAAGAATTTAGGTTGTGGTTTTCGGAGGTTTGCCGCGCAGATCCCGGGGTGATCATGAAATCGGCTAGCGCTGGGTGGGGAAATTGAAGGTAAAACAAGCGGTTCTTGAGATTTTATTAGATCCAAGACATTAAGCCGGGGTGCTTTACTCGAGTACGTGCATAGGCGCTCATTGGGGTTCAATTGGTTCCAAGTAACGAATTGTGGAGGCACGGCGGCTAGCAAAGACGTAGTCTATGGGGCACGACGCAAGTCAACTATATCAAGACACTTTGTGCTAGTACTGTACAGTATTAGTGCTGTGCCTGTAGCGTGTTCACAGAAACAGGCATGAAAGAACAAGGCAGGAAAAAAAGGGAGCGTTCAAGTCGACAGTACTTGTATGATATGGTAGAGGAGTACAAACCGAAAACCCAGCTGAAGACACTTCCTTGATCAGTGATTTGAGAGATCAAGAGAATACCGGTACCGGTACAATAGGGGGGGATATATTGTACATGGTAACCCTTTGGCGAGCAGATACATAGCATGCCGCCGGGTTCAGAGGTACTGTGCTTAGTCCATAATACTAGGCGGAAAAGGTAAAAAGAAAAATATTTTTCACACCAATGCCGACCTTCCCATTCCTTTCTGGCGAAGAGGATAGCACCTAGAATACATGAAAAAGTCAGCCAATACTCCTGTCATATTGGCAGTTTATACAGGTGACATTCAAAGCGGTACACCTGTATTTGTGCAGTACGTTGTGTATTCAGTTTGAGGTGTACTGAGAACTTCGAACCTATCTCCCAAATACGGGGAGGGGAGGGGGGGTACGAATACCGGTACAGCGTTACCTCACTGTGTGACCAGCGCGGGTTGGAAATAGCAGCCTTCTCAGGCAATGCGGGGGGGCAGCAGGGAGCTTCCGTTTGTATGATATGATATTTTCTACCAAGTCAGAGATATGATAACTCTTTCGTTTTCCCTTTCCCTGTTCCGCGCGTTACACCCAGCCTTCTGTCATAGGTACCGTATGAAATGCTTCACTATTGGCAGGTGAGAGGGGATAGGGCAGAAGGAAGAAGGGAGCGCAACATACCGGTATCTGATTAGATCTTTTAGCTGGGTCTTTCCTTTGTTTTTCATGTTTCATTACCCGTAGGGTGCGTATGAGGTAGGGTGCCGTATGACTCTGTTGAGGGGGTATCATATCACAGAAGTGTAAAGTGTATCGCAGTACGCTGATAGGCGGCTACAAGACTTCCTGTTGGCATTCTGGGGGGACATTTGAAGAGTGCTGAGCATAACTTTATGTGCGTCAAGGGCCATTCTAAGGCCCACAAATGTAGAGGCACTTTTGTTTATGGGGCACTTTTTCCGAAACGCTCACAGTTTTGGTTGGTCAGAAGATCCTCGGGAGAGTTATTATGTAATATCATACAAAAGTTCTCGGCCAGAACTGCAATAGTACCCTCCCATATGATACTTGCGTCCGATCTTAGCAATTTTCCCTTACCTACGCAGGCACCGGAGGAGGCGGAAAATTGCAATGGTGAGGTGGCAGACAATAGTCTCCGTTTTCTGCTGCTGTACTGTACCTATCACGATACGATACTGTATGTTACGGTAGTGTACTGTACAGTACGAGTATCACACTGCACCGTACCTGTGCCTGTTCTACTCCTCTATGGTATCATACCGTGTCGAGTAATGTTTCGGCTTCAAGGGTTTGAATGCTCGACATGTGACAAACTTCATTTAGGATTTCAGCCTGCGCGTGGCTTGGCCCATATCTTGGCACCTAAGCCTCCAATCCAACGCCAACGTCGCCAAACATAAGCAAGATCCTGACTCGGAAACTGCTCCACATCGCCACTCCTTCAACAACCCACCTCTCCGCGATCTCACCAAAACCTTCACCCCTCCCGACCTCCACCGCCTTATACTGTGCCTCACAGTATTCAACGGCAGACGCTCAGGTCTGCTTCCCAGTCTTTACCGAAGCGAAATTTTGTACGGAGGATCCGCTACTGCAGAGAGAGAACAATAGGGCAGCGCGGGGGGATTCCGGTCGGCCGAAAATTTGGTCAACGGACCATTCGAACCACCGCTCTCCTGCCCCCATCTCGACCGCTTTCATCTTTCGGACCGTCCAATATCGTCTTTGAGCGAGCAAACTCAAAAATCCTCCGTCATGACTATGCCGCCACCCGAGAAGCCATGGGAGGCCAATCATAATGTCTCTGTAATGTGTCCCGATTGTCGCGAGGTACCTGCCAACATTGTAGAGGAATTTTCATCTGGGGATATGGTTTGCGGCTCTTGTGGATTGGTGCTCGGTGACCGTATTGTCGATACTCGATCTGAATGGCGCACCTTCTCGAACGACGATCAGGCTGGCGATGATCCTTCCCGTGTCGGAGATGCGGCGAACCCCTTCTTGAACGGTGCTCAGTTGGAGACCACAATCTCGTACACTCCAGGAGGTGCTGGAAGGGAGCTTCACAGAGCTCAGAACAAGACCGCTGGTGATAAGTCCACCAAAGGGCTTCTGGCTGCGTACAAGGAGATTGGTGCGTTTTGTGACTCTATAAATATCCAGAAGGTCGTCTCCGATGCGGCGAAGCAGCTTTTCAAGATCGTGGATGATCACAAAGCCTTCAAAGGGAAACCTCAAGAAGCCATTATCGCCGGATGCATCTTTATCGCCTGCCGTCAGTGTCAAGTTCCTCGAACCTTCCGCGAGATCTTCGCTCTGACGAAGGTTCCCAAGAAGGAAATTGGTCGTGTCTTCAAGGCATTGGAGAAGTTCTTCGCGGCCCAGGATAGCAAGAAGATGGACGAGATCACCAAGTCGGGCGGTATTGTGGACGATAGTCAGCAGTACAAGACTACAAGCTCTACCAAGGCCACCGAACTTATGATTCGTTATTGCAACAATCTGAACCTCACTCAGAACTGCACTACTATCGCCCAGGAACTCGCAGACCGTGCTGCCACCATCGGTACCCTTGCTGGGAGATCTCCTATTTCTAGCGCTGCGGCTTGCATTTACATGGTTTCCTATCTCATGAAACAGCCCAAGACTGCGAAAGAGATTTCGACAATCGCGGGTGTCAGCGATGGGACGATTCGTAATGCATACAAGCATCTATACACCGATAGGAATAAACTGATTGACCCTAAATGGGTCGAGAATGGTAAGGGGGATATTAGTGCCTTGCCGTCGTCATAGGGGGCCGTTGGCAGCTAGTCTTAAAGCCTGAGCGCCTCAAGGCTCTGCTTGGGTCGGCTCAGTGGTCTATCCCTTTAACTATTTTAACAATTTGTAACCCCTTGGCTTGTTTTTATGTTACCTCCTTGTTCCTCGTACCTTCTAGCTTTTTAAACTGTTCTTCATTCTACATGATAGACCGTGACCCCTTTTGGGGTTTCGATTCGGGCGGCGTTAATCTCTGTATGGTGAGGTGGTGGTTTTCCATTACAAAAGCAAAAGCTTTCCATTGTCATTATCCATGTGCTCAGTTTGTTTTGCTATCTTTCGTTTTTCATCTCTTTTAAGGTCGGTGCGTGACAAGAGACAGATATCATACCAGTAATGCTTTTACGAAGTGAGGGGTCTGTAAGTTATCATAATAGTACGAGACCACATGTTTTTTGCTCCTAGCAAATCTTTCCTGGCCTTTTCATTGTAACCTATCATAAACAAGATTGGCAAACCAACATCCTCTCGAACACGACTTGTGAATGTTTTTCCCGTTTTAATTCTTTATCTCTCACCATTATAGCTCTGAACCCGGAATAATTGAAAATCCCACTAGGACGTTGGAGTTGCCTCTCCCAGCAAGGCCCGGTGTAATTTTTTTTTTTTTTTTTTCATCCCAGCTGAAGGCTTGGAGACAATATTTTCGCTGTCTTCTTCCCCCTTGCTGTTTGTAATCCACTGGGGAAGGTTCTGGACCGCTCCTGTCATCATGGATGAAACGGCAAGTTACGGTAGGTTAGAACGATAAATCGGAAAAACCCTTTACTCGAGTAGTAACACCTGCAGATTTTATCCCGAGACGGGTGATTGCCGACGCCTTGGAGCTGCCTGCTGTTAAGATATCGTACTATTGTCTGGGGACAAAATTAACTAGCTCTCAACGGCAATGGCAACGCTCCCCTTCTCATCACCCCGCTCCCTCAACACTTCCTAAAGAAATTGCTCTACACCAACCAAAGTCAAACCAATTTACTTAATTCTTTTTTTCAATAAACTATGCCTCCTATTCTTCGCAGTCATGCCAAACAGCCTATTCCCTCCAAGCACCTTTCTGAGTTTACAAGGAGACGAATTCTTGGGTTACACGAGCCTCAGATGACAAATCACCAAATTTCCCACTACTTTGACATTCCTCTCAGTACTGTTAAAAGCACATTTGCAAAGAGAGATCAAGAGGGCAAGGAGAATGAAGGTAGAGGAAGACATCCTAAAACTACCAAGTTGCAGGATGATGCTATGGTAGAGGAAGCTATCAAAAATCGCCATACTAGCTACTCCGAGATTGCTGAGAGAGTGGCTCCCAATGTTTCTACTAAGACTGTGAAGAGAAGACTTGCACAAAAGCATCTTAAAAAGTGGATGGCACAAGAGAGGGTTCATTTGGATGAGTATCTAGCTTAAAAGAGATTAGAATAGGCATTAGCCCATAGGAATTGGACAAGGCAGATGTGGAGAAGGAAGGCAATGTGGGGGGATAAGGTAGCTGTGGAGAGGGGAGGAGGAAAGAGAAGAAAATAGGTATTTAGATGTCCAAAAGAAAAGTGGAATAAGGATTGTGTTGAACCTACTGCTAGGAAAGGAGAGAGAAAGATTAGTCAGATGATGACTGGTTGTTTCTATGGTCAAACTCATGGTCTTTTTTTACCTGTTTTTCCTGATCCTACTTCTGCTGGAGGTGGAGTGACTGGAAAGTTAATTATTGATGTTTATGATCAATATGACTTTCCAGGGATATGGGAGGATATCAAGGAGCATGTTGGAGAGGAAGAGGTATTTTTGATCATTGACAATGCTAAGACTCACTTGCCTTTCAGGAGATGGCTCAGGAGAAATTCTATTCATCTATCTAAAATGGCATCTCGGTCCAGCCGACATAGCCGTGAAATCTATGTATCTTTGCGAGTGCACTCTTAGAAGCATCAACACCGCAATCCTCATCATAACCCTGATTGTAAATGTTGCCATCGGCCTCGGTCTCAACTGCGGAGAATGGGGTCCTATCCGTGGTACTGAGGGAAGGAGTATAGAATCCTACCCACCAGACGGGTGCCTCCTGATACATGGGCTTCGTGGGGTTCTGCTTAAGAGTGGAGCGTTGATCGAACACGACGTAACGTCTAGGTCGGCACTTGAAACTGAACGACTTCTCCTTGACGGACATGCCGGGCGCGCACCTTAAGAGCTTGAGACCCGTATCGTACAGTATCCGGCGATAGTGACGTTTATTCTTGGCCGAGAATCCGATCCATTCCCCGTTGCGTTCCTGTTGGTTGTACAATAGGGGACCGTCGACCTGCTTCAGGGCGTTGACAGCACCGGCGTAACCAATGGGCGCAACCCCCACCAAATTGGGAGCGGGGGGTGGAGTATTGTTGGGGGGGACGAGAAGACGATGGAACAATGTCCAACCAGGCGCGGTCAATGACTGTTGACTAAAACATATCACACGCATGTATATCGGACGTTGCCAAGTGAGACGGAAATTGATGGAAAGTTTCTGAACCTTGATAATAGGATGATAACGTAGATGCTTGCGCACCTCGAACTCTGATGTCATAACATCCGCCGGGGCCCCGATATTGCCCAAACAATAATGACCGGCACGGATGATTTGCCAAGTAGGGAGAAGAAAATTGCGATCGTCGCCCACAGTGGGGGCAGTGACGATATAGTGACTCTGATCATCTGGGGATGGTAGGGGACCTCTCGGGATGGTGCTATGCCAACTGATGTGCTTGCGATGCGCTACGGCAGCTCGCACCTTATGGTGGAAACGCCGGGACGGCATCTTTTTTTTTTTCTAATAGCGGCGATAGTACCGACAACGAAAAGGGTAACGACGACGACGAATACCGTAATAACGACGTCGATAATACCTCATACTCTCCTCCGATTCAGAATCTGATGGAATGTCCTTGAGTGTATGATAGACCTCCGGATGATGTTGATATAAGTATGACTCACTGACAGATGGGGCCGATTCACTCTGTGACGTTTGATATGACTCATCTTGTTGACTCATAGGTGTGTGTGTGCGCGAAAGAAAAGAAAAAAACAGGGAAGAGTGTGGGAGTGGTGAATATTTATGATGCAAACGCGCACACAGACCCCTGTCACAACAACCAAACAACCAAAAGAGGAAACCTTGGCGTAGAGTCCCACCACTCCCACTCCGACTATAATATTAAATAGTCGGAGTGGGAGTACGTGACAACCATTGGGAGTGGTACGTACCTCGCTTAGGATATAATGGGACACATTTCCGCCGTTGCGAAGGATTCAGTCCAACAATCGAACCACCACCCCCATGTCTCCCATCAATAAAACACAAAACCTCTCTCTTCATGCTTCCCCGATACTTCCTGAGACTCCT